GAGAAGAGCGAACATCCATAATTATGCAAAGAGGGCTCAAAAGGACACAGAGATCTGAGCTGAATTTCAGTGTTTACTTTCTTCGTTTCCAGATGTCCTCTGAGATCCAATGCAGCTGAAAAACTACCTTTGGCTATAAGCAAAAGTCACACACAGAAGCAAGTGAATTGTCATTTTTTTTCTTCTCTCTCCAAAACTGTAAAAAGTTCAGCTGTCACTTTTCTTGAGGCAGCTTTCACACATATGATTATAATTAGTATGTTGATGCTGGTGTACAACACCTTCATCCACCAAAGTATTTGGATGTGATTGTAGATATAAAGGAGGAAAATGTACTAGTTTACATTTAAAAAAAAAAGTAGTTGTTTTGGGCATTTCACTGATCACTTTGTAAAGTCACAAAGTCAGTGACACAAGTTTGGACACTGGGTTGAGGATACCAAGCTGTGAAAACAGCAACTGTTCTCTAGCACTCTGTGTTATTGAACCGACAGCTCAAGATTTGCTTCTAGATCTGTTACTTTTTCAGCTTCTGACCCTTCTGGATACTTTTTTCATTCACTTACCTTTAACTCAAAGAAATTTATATCTCGCTTCTTGAAGTTTATGCTGCTATACAAGTATTTAACAGATATTACATTCCTCTTCTTTCTCCAGTGTAAAGAAGGAAAATCCAACTCTTCTTTTACTTACATAAATAAATAAACACTGCAATTTCTTTCTTATAGTTAATAGAACCTAGTTTAGATATACAGAACTGTGAATTAAGTGTATATTTAGACATTSACCGTATAATTAGTAATATTGCATCTCATAAACAGTAGAGCTTGGCTTACAGCATCATTGTCAAAAGTCTGAAATATATAAATGTTAAGAAACAAAATACTCAAGTGAAATCGAATTGAGTCATGTTTGTCTCTGCTATAGTGACAGGACATCTCACTGCCTAATTTATTATCCTTACACTGATACAAATCACAGATTATAAAATATGAATTATTAAAGGTCTTTGGATGAAGAGTGATTAAATAACTGTTTAATTAGCTTGTTTTGCAGTGAAGAGGATTATAGCTGGTTATTAAGAAAAACACTCTAATTGTCAGGGTAGTTAGGGTAAGGCATTTTAGTGAACAAGAGGGTATCCTTCACTGGAGTTTTGTAAGCAGAGACTGTACAGTCGTCTGGCCGTGCCTGACCCTACTTCAAAGGCTGGAACTAGACAGAGATGGGAGATTTTTATGTTGTATAGGATATTTTGTAAGACTGTGTTCTCCAATCAGGTAGGAATATGTATTATTTGACACACGATCCAGTGCCGGCATACTTCTCTGCAAAAATGTGCAAGGCAGGATGGCAGAGGTGTTTTGAAGGATTGGATGTTTGCATCAGGAATTTATGATTTGCAGAGATACTGGTGAGTTTGGTGCAATTCTTGCCAAAAGATCGAAATGTAAGAACTCACTCCCATTTAGTGAGGATGAGTGACACAGTACGTATTACACTTACTCTATACCATACTGCTTGAGAAAATTATTTTTCAAAAATGCAAAATCCTTATCTGAATATATTTACAGTTATCTGAATAGTTTTTATAGAGGCAAATATGTCACCTGCTCTGCAATGAGCCATAGCTTAGCCCACAGCCTAAGCTATCCTTAAACCTAAGACAGCCCTACAGAGGAGCCAATACACTGACTCCAGCAGGCTTTAAATGGCACGCCAAATACTAATTGTGCGCTAGTGCTAAAAACATGGGAAAGGTTGCACAGAGGGGTCATGTGGTGCACATGGCTTTTGAGATTCCTATTTGAATTTACAATTGTATCAAAATCTCTGCCGTGCAATTTTRAATTTTTGGAGTGGATTTTTAAACAGATTTAGACTTGTGTAATGCAACAGGTGTCCCTGGTGCAACCTGTTTCACTAAAGGAAACTGATATAACCACAAAACCAGTTTTGTTTAGAAAACATTTTTCCTCTTTTCTCTTCAGTGTTTTTTTTTTCCACAATTCTGTATGTTTTCCATATGTGCAGTCTAAATGGTAAGCTTTTTTTCTGTCCACAGAGGACAGTGAAGTCATATAAATAGACACAATATTTGAAACTTGCAATCTTTGTGTTGCTATTTAATTCTAATATGTAATATATTATTTTCAAATTAGGAATAGAATGCAGCATAAATGAGAAAAAAGAAAGAGATTGAGAAGTTTAAAGTTAAGAAATATAGTTAATCTATAGTAGTGCCCGAAATAATAACTCAGTCGATGAAGATTGCAAAAGCACCATGATGCTGATTTTAGGAAATTCAATATTTCTGCTAGCTTATTCTTTTATCTTCCTTTTATACTCCACAACGCCAAAGGTTATTTCATCTTCAGACAGCTTCTACACACCTTTTTTACCCAGATAGTTTTCCTGTAGCTTTTGGAAGAATTAGAAATAATTAACAGATATGGCTAATTCAGCTGAAATGCAAACCAAATAGAACTCCACTCCTCAGGTACACTGGTGATGTCTGGCTTGGCAGGAACCGATTTCTTGGCAGTAGGATCTAATAGAGACATATGGGAGGATAGGCTAACTTGCCATCACATATCATTCCTTATAGATTTCCAAGGAAGAGAATTAAAAAGGAAATTTATTCATTACATATAGAACATTTTCATTCAAATAAAGAAGTGAGATTGAAGGAAAAGCATGACGACCAGAACATTTAAAGTCTTTTAAGAATAACAAAAAAACCTGTATTTCTACAGGTCAAAAAATAAAATATAAGCATGGAACATGTCTTGGCTGCTGTCTTTCATCTAAGATAGAAGAAAGTGCCAAGCTGTTGATAGCTGTGGAGCTTTATAAGGTCTGAAATTGTATTAAATTCTGGCAAAGCTTTTAAACTTTAATATGTTCATCAGTTTGGTAGAGTGATTAGCGCAAGGATTAMGTTATAAAAAATAACACGTCATTGTTTCAAACGAAGAATCTCAAAATGCTTTATGAATGCTCACTATTTAAGACTTAAAATGCTGGGAGGTCAAAACATAGAACTCACTGTCAGCTTTTCCTTCGATATGTAGAGACATTCTCCATTTTCCTTGTCAGTGTATTTTACCAGCACAACTGGTTCATGCATCTCTAGACTTAGCACAGAAAACCTCCTTGTCTTGTGTTGCTACATAATGCAGCACAGCTCTTGCATTGTGAGRGCAGAAGGGAAAATGAAGGGATCTGGTGGCTGCACTATCTACAGCCCTTTCAATTTTATTAAGTTGTGTTGGTTTTATCTAGTCAGAAGCAAAATTCATTCACAGAGCCACATTATTTGTAGTACAAAATCAGAATACTGATATAGGGCCTTATAGAGAAAGATAAAAAAACTAATCATCTTAGAGGAAAATAAAACTGGAATCTCCTTACATTCTTTATAATTTCTATACACAGAGCTGACATAGYTTAATGCGTGTTCATTTATGGATTTGAATGAATTGTTTCAGAGATTGTCAAGGTCTAATTGAACAGAAATACTCATTTGACAAAGGAGCATAATAAAACAAAGCAATGTCCTTCAAAGAGCCTTGATAGGCTTCACATGGTGCTATGATAACATCTTGAAGATACTTCCCCTACTTGCCTTGTCTCTTGGCATATTCTCCTCTTGATTAGTTTGGATATATTATTTATACTAGTGGCCCCAGGTCTTTGTATATGCAAGACAGACTGATGGGCTTTCAGGGAAGCCTTTGGAGACTGAAGTGCTTAAGAAGTACTGTCTTGACAGTGACAGAAGCCCCAGGGTCCATATGCTTATCCCACAATAAAAAGCCTGCTATTGAACTCAGTGAGTTGGCTTCGTACTTATCTTTTTGTTACAGCAAAAAAAGAGAGAGAGAGAGAGAGAGAAAGTGAAATAGTATGTGTGTGTCTCATTTTTTTTTCTTTCTTTGAGCCAAAGAAATTATCAAAATATAATATGGGAGTGATTTTGTCTTGTTTTTCTCTCTTGAGATTTGAAAGACAAACATAGTTGGGTTTGTTTGTCTTCTATTTTCCCAATCTCCCCCCGTATTTTCTGTTTAAAGTGGTTTTATAAATGAGATATACTAAATATGTTTAAAAAAAAAAATCAGCATTCCCCAAAGGACACRCATTGTGACTGGGATGCTAGTTAGTGTGCAGAACTCATTGTGAAAGCCTTCAAATAACACTGAAGTTCAAAGACGTTTGTTCAGAGACTTTCCCATTTAATATGGGAGGAAAAGAGGTAGAGACAGAGGCTTTTAATATGTCTGGATCTGTGAACCTCTTAGCTCTTATAAGGCCAATCACCTGCAAGATGAAGAAGATCCCTTTGAACTTCTGAAATTGGGAATATGCAGCATGGAACAACACATCCAGAATAGGTTTTTATTTTAAAATGTAGGCCAATTTGGGTGTAATCTGATCATTAGACTAATGTTGTAATGAGAGGTATTTTGGAGAGATGCATTAATAAAATTGATCATTATGCTTCCTATGCCAAAGTATGGATAAAACAACTGCTATCCTGCAGTGACGGAAATAAGTAGCTTTCTGCTCTATATGAGGCCATTTTCCAAAGTGTGGATGTTGAGGATKTTGTAATGTAACAATAAAAAAAGTAAAAAATCTATTTATATATTACTTGGCCATATATCCTAGATCATAGAGGACTGCAGTCTCTTCTACCTAAAGGCGTAGGTTGAGTGTCAGGAAGTGTGAAAAAAAAAAAAAAAAAAGACAAGCAGAAAAGCCATTCACATTTTTACTATTCAGTAAGAACGATAATCTCAGTCACAAGCAATGAAGACACTCTATTGCTATTGCGATTAAAATCCCACTTAAGAAAGCCTGTGATCCATTTAATGGATTAAAAGGAGTTGCTACCAGCTGCATACTACTCACCACACCTGTGTGCTATAAAGCTCTGCTGCTCAGTAAGAACGGAAGGTTTAAAGTGCTGAGAGGAAGKGGGGTTGTGGTTTAGTGAAGTTAAGGCTGTGGTTGACTGAGCACCTACTTGAATCAGAACTGGAATATAATAGCCTGCTTTGCTGGAAGGTGAGAGACTGGTACTGTGGGTGCAAGGCACAAAGGAAGCTTGCAGAAGGGCTAGATTTGTGTACGGAAAGAGGGTGTGAGAAAATGAAGCCTCTTAGTTTTGCTGAGATTTGGATTTTCTGTGCTGTAAGTCTGTACAGGTAAATGGTTTCCTGTCTCTGTGGGAGTCTGCAGTGATCTATTTATATAAGGGAGAGAAAAAGCTCTTTAAAGTCAAAGAGGAGGATTGGCAGCTTAGTCTTGCAGAAAGGTCTCTGAGGGAGAAAGGCTGCCCAGTAGGTGAAATAGTTAAAGAAGAGGCTTGCATCTTATGGTTATACTTTTAGTTAAAACTTTTATGAAAAAGTATTTGATTTTTTTTTTCCTAGGCTTTACTGCCTAGGCAACTGGAGTTGGAAGGAACTTCTGAGACTTCCCTTCAATTAGAGATAGCTGAGGCCGATTGAATCAAACCTCCTGGGGCAGCAGGTTCTGGAAGGCCTCCTTCTAAGCCTCCTCTGGGGAATTAGGTAATCCAGCAGCAGGCAGAACTGAGGCCAACTGAGAAAATCTGTATTTTGACCAGTGGTCACTTCCAAACTGTGTTTGGCCACTAGATCTCAGGATATCTSTTTGCATTTTTTGATTACTTGTTTGGACTGCATCATATTACGCTTAGTCACAGATTACCAATTCCTACAAACAGTTGAAAATGGTAGTTGGGATAGTAATTCATGTCATTTCTCTAGTATTCGTATGTTACTTCGAGCATGTCTATAAACCTACATTTTCTTTGCTAAAATTTTATTGCYGAAGTAAAAGATGAGAAAAGAAACAGTAGCTGGTCAGTAGTACYGAAATAGGGGCTCCTGTTCCTAAAGTGTTTAACTTTACTGTGAATGCGCTTTCTTAAAAGATAAAGGAGTCTTTGAAGAAAACAGGATTACCCTTTTCCTTTCACATGTAGATAACATATTTTGCTAAATGCATGTAGCTGAAAAGAGTAGAGTGATGACTTTCAACTCTGTTCTCCTAATAGTAAACCAAAAGGAAAATTGGAGAGTTATTTTGTTTGATGCTTGTTTGATTATGCAATAGTGGCATAAAGTAAGAGGTAAGAACATTTAGGAACATTAATGTGAGAAGTCTGAACGGGGGAGTTCACACAGCTAATGATTATTGCAGACTTGGACAGTTGAACTTCAACTGCAATCATTTGACTTGTGGGTAAGCAATGAAAATAATGATAACTTTGTATTTACTTGTTTATTTTWTGTTCAGTTGTTTGATTCTTGACTGACACCAACGTAATGAGAAAGGAGATCTACCTATTATGTGCTATATTTTCTGTTAAGCTAAAGATGCTTGAGTGTGAAGACTCATATTACCTATGTTCTTTATGGGGTGTAGATATCTTTTTCTTGCTGTGCCCATCTCCCTATATCTCCCGATGCTTTGTAGAGTTTTGGGCTTGCCATGCCCATCAAATGGAGTTTCAATTTTGATGGCTTCTTGCTCAACTACTTAAGCTTTTAAACCTAGCTTGTGTCACTGGATTAGGARTGTGGGCACAAAATAATTACACACTCAATTATACTGTCTGAATAGGAAGCATACAGTAGCTGAGAGATAATCAGGAAGCTGTTCATAATAGTAATGTTTAGTTACTAGCTTCTGTAACCCGACTGAAACAGGAATCCACTGACTGGAAATAGAACGGAGGAGAGCCAGTTTGAAATCAGTTCCAGGTTTCAGCTGCTGCTGGCACTTGCCTATGGACAGAATGGCAGGCCATGAGGCTTCTTGGCCTGCAAGTCCAAGGGAAGCCTCAGCCAGAAGTGAGATGGCATCAGAGGAAGCCATCTTCTCTAACCCTGCTAAACACGTATTGTGTCTTCCTTTTACCGCAGTGGTTTTGAGGTCTGTGCTTTAAAGCTGTTATACAGCAAAATTGAATTCCTCCAAATGAGACTGGCAAAACTTTGATTAAGGATAAAGGATGGTCAGCAAAACTGAGTGCAAAAGTATGCCTGTTACTTCTCTCATAGTAGTGGAAGGTTTTCCTGAGAGTCAGAATTCCCTTGGCACCATGGTTGCAGTTGTTTGACCTGTTTTCCAATGTTCTTATGAAATTAATCTTAAAACTTATTTTTTAGAAAGTCTCTAGCCTCTCTAAGGCTCCTCTGTCGTAAATGCACTTCTGCACTGTTAAGATTGGAAGTTTGCTGCCCAGGCAGCTTTTCGGAAACAATATCCTGTGATGCACATTACTCTATACAAAGTACAAAATAATGTGAACTGCAATTTGTGCGTAGTAGCYGGTAATCTTCTGTGATCCATTTGAATTTCTGTGAGGATGAGGAACAAGTCTCTCTAAGCTCTACCGCTAAAGTCCAGGCTCCTCATAAATTTTGTTCCTTGAAGGTCCAGAGGGAAGAAAAAAAATCTGATAAAAGAGCTTGCTTGTGTCCAAAGCCCAGTGAAATTAATGAAACCTCAGTTGTTAGGTCAAGCTGAGGGATCACAATTGTAAATGGGATTTTTTTTTGTAGGTAGGAGGAGAGGTTATATGCAAGGTGAAAATAGCGTGTTGTTGTTAAATTTCTCACTCATTTGAGGAGAGCTTCCTTAATATAAAGGTCCTAGTAGAACAGATGTGTTTCTAATTGCATTCTTAAAATAAAATGTTTTTATTCAGAGTTTGCAGCACAGGAAATATCCTTCAGCAAAGGGCACCAGCTGCAAAACAATAAAAGGAGCTTTAAAAATTTATCCACTCACTGGCAGGTTTTTTGCCCCTTCAGACTTTATAAAGTTCATAGTTTCTTTTAGTACTTAAAACAGATAAAATTCTTTTTTTTCATTTTGCATGAAGAAAAAAAGTCACTCTGACCATTTATGTAGTAATTGCTCTGAAATGAAGGACTCTTGGTGGTACCTGCAGCCTGCCCGTTGCGATTCAAATGGGCACTGCACTCCCGGCTTTGAAAATCATGTTTCAAGTAGCTACTTACATACAGGGCATACTACTGAAAACAGTACTACTTATCTGGGCAGGATAATTGTCTGCTGTGTTGGGGGTGGTGGGGGAGGAATAGAAATCAACTGGCATTTAGCTACTAAATATATCTTTCTAATTTTTTAGTMGGATCATTCTTCAAAAATCTTCTCTACAGAGAAAAAAAAAGGGTGATATTGACTAGTCAATGCAAATCTTGAGAAAGGACAGAGAACTGGTTATATGACTGATATTTATAATGTTTATTCTTAGTCGGTGGTGGTCAGCAACTCTGTTATAAACTAATCTCTTCCTGTAACCTGCTTAAGCAGATAGGTCACTTAYTTGCAAATCAATTTCCCTTTCTTCACTCAAGTGTGTCACCTTTTTAAATTCTCACCTGCAAATTTCATCTGAAGTTTCTAAATGTTGTTACACTAAATGGAAAGATGCCTATGGGTTAACTAAATCTACTGAAAATTACACTTGATTTGGCAAAATGAATGAAGAGGGTGTGTGTTTGTGTGGGTAGAAGAGTGGATAGAGAGACCACATTTCTTCATTCTACTCTCATTTTTGAGGCTGATTAGCTGTGTAACACAGATAAACAAAAAGCTAGACTAGTTAGATGCAATCTTGCTCAAGATCCTAATGGAAATCTTTGGCGGAGCAGATAATTAAACTTGGACTGATACCATGAGACATGAGAATCTAATTAATTAAACCAATCTACCTTTCTCCCAACAGTGGTCAGAGAGTGACTTTTTAAATTTATCTGTAGGTCTTATTCAYTCTGAACAGAAGTGGCAAGAACATTGGAAAAGTTTGAGCCACTTGGCAGGGAATACAGATCCAGGTAAATTACTAATATAACCAATTATACAGCTGAGGGAAAATCTTTTGTACTGTCTTTTTTTGCTCATCATAATAAATATCCCTGTCTTATCGGAAAAAATAGTTTTCTCGGTATCAAAGAAAATACAGATTTTTGCATCCTAGTAAGACTTCTGTTTTTCTCTCAATTATGGTTATTAGTTTACTTTCTCCACTGCTTTGTGTTCTTGGTTTTACTTTTAGCTTTTCATACATTTTGTGAAAAGGAAAAAGCAAGTGTTTGAACACATACTTTTTCTTATYATTTGTACTAGATGAGTTGATTGCTGAAAGGCCCAAGTTCTCTCTACCAGTGTTGGTTCAGTGTTGCCTGGGAAAGTTAGGATTATACAACTGGACCGTGTTTATAAGCAACTCCGAAACATGGGTTGCATAACATCCTATGTYATTTCTTTGGCCAATACTTTGGTTACGTTCTGTGGGCACAAAACCTACTGTAATTAAAGGCTCTTTTSTTTCCTTCTCTGAAGCAGATTACTTCTCTTTATGGYGTCATGGAATTTTTTTCTCCCCTAGTTCTTTTATTGCAGAATCTGAAGAAGGTGTTGTAGGGCAATGTGGCTGTGCCAAAGAGTACTAAGCTATGGAGGTAGTATTTTCATTATTTCCAAAGTTGATATTTTGCCGGAAGTTTAGAATCAGATTTAGTTACATATTTTATAAATGTAAATTGAGTAGTTCAAATTAAGTAATAATGATATCTAGACATATGGAAATATTTTATATGAATGCTATTCACTTACATGAGTAACACATACTTCCTGATTTAAGTACACATTCATAAAGGATTTAATATCTGTCAGACAGATATCATCCAGTGCTTTGTCTTTTCTTCCTGTCTGCRGAATTCCTGCCCCTTGCAATGCCATTTGTGCTTGTTGATATCAGGGGATTAGAAGTTTTGGGTCCCTTCAGAAAATTAGATCAGAAATTTTTCATTTGTGACTCGCTGACCTAAAAATAATACTTTAAAGAACCATTGTGCTGTGAAGCAGAGAAATAATGTCACCTTATTTTATTGTTGGAAAATGCGGAAAGTTGAAGTGACCTATATCTAAAAAAAGAATTTTAAATTGTTTTTAAAAGGTAGGATATTGCATCCGAGTATCCAAAAAAAGAAATGTTTGGG